GCCTGATTGGTGTAAAACCGATGATGAAAGGGAGTCTTACATCCGAAATTACAGAGAAAATGAGGGTATTTCCAACATCAAGTACAACCCTGGGCTACGTTCTCTTTCAAAATTAATGTTGAATAGTTTCTGGGGGAAATTTGGTCAGAGGAAAAATCTTCAGAAAACTACAATTACTAGTGACCCAGCTACCCTCTTCTCAATGCTAACAGATCCGGCAATGATTGTGAATGACATAAATTTCTTTAGCGATAGTATTGCTGAAGTAAAACATACCTTTATTGACGAACAAGTTCCCATTAATAAGAAGGGTAATGTAGTTCTAGCCACTTTTACAACAGCGCATGCAAGACTTAAACTGTATGAAATCCTACAAAAATTACAAAGAAGAGTGTTGTACTACGATACAGACAGCATTATCTTTACAGTTAAACCTAATGAATGGGAACCACCGTTAGGAGATTACCTAGGAGAGTTAACGAACGAAATTGATTCAAAAGACGGGAACTTTATTACTCAGTTTGTTTCAGGGGGCCTAAGAATTATGCCTACAAACTGGACTCAGCCAAGACGGTATGCAAGGTTAAGGGCCTTACACTCACCTATATGAATACCAAATTGGTAATTTTGATGAAATGAAAAAGTTGGTGTGCACCGTAGGGGATAGGCCAACCATTAAGGTTGACGATAAACAAATTACAAGGGATGTGAAAAGGAAAAAAACTCTTTTCCGTAGATAGAAAAAAAGATTATAGAATATATTATGATAAAAGAATCGTATTTCCAGATTTCGATACCCTTCCTTATGGTTACGTATGGGAATAGTTTGATTGTTGTCATTATAGGTTATTTAGGTACAGTTTGCAGTTTTCTCTTTTGAAAGTTTCGTCTAACGTAAAATGGACTTTAGGTTAACTGTATAAAATTATTTTTCTAACCTTCAAATCTTCATTTATGTCACAATGATTGAAATGATAAGAACTTTGTTTTACGATGGTCGTCAGAGGCCCCACTCAGTGTGGGAAAACCGAGTTTGTAAAAAAAACTGTTATTAATTCCATCATTTAGTGAACTATTCCACGATATTCATTGGTACTATGGTGAATATCAAAACCTATTTGAAGAGCTGAGTATGAAAATACCCATGCTCACGTTCGTCGAAGGGTTACCAAATGACATTACGTCTATGCTGCCTGATAAAAAGTATTTGTTCATTATTAACGATCTCATGGCCGAAGGATCAAGAAACAATTGACTAGTTAATCTGTTTACAAAAGGTTGCCATCATAGACAAATCAGCGTCATCTTTCTTATGCAGAACTTTTTCTACGGTTCTAAAGAAAAGAGAACAATTACACTGAATGCTCACTATTTGGTCCTATTTAAAAATCCTAGAGACCGCTCTGAAATTATGCATCTAGCTAGACAAATGTTTTCAGGGAGGTCAAAGTTTATGAGAGAAGATTTTGAAGACGCTACGAAAGAACCATACAGATACCTGTTTGTGGATTTGAAATCGACCAATCAACGATTACGATAAGGCGCTCTTGTACAATCAAGTTTTACAAAGGTATATCAAACGCAAATCCATTCGCAATCCATCACCCGTACACATCTACATCGAGTCAAGAAACTAAGAAAATATCGGAAGCAGAAACGAACAGCGATGGAAAAGAAACCGAAGAAGATGCTATTCTAAAATCATTTCCTAAAACTTTGGTTTCCAGAGTTCGACCTATTCTTACTGTACATATATTTTGAACTATAAACACATTATAGATTTTAATCGTAACTCTGGGGAGGTTATCTTAAACAGACAAACTATTAAGGGTTCGAATCTTATCAATCTTTTGAGGGATTTGATTCAAGAAAGAAAAAGTTTCCAGCCTATCGGTTGGTATCAATTCCTAGAGATCTTGGCTAACAATAATATCCCTGAAACCTTTGTAGGTAATGCAGCCCGTCGAAGAATTTTAAGGGAAATTAAAACGGGCGGTTCTCCTCATCATTCTTCACCAAAGAAGGTTGTCAAGCCATTCGATTGGATAAAGTATTAATTTATACTTGAGTGCTAACGATTCTATTGTTTTGATTTCGATATTAAAAGTTTGATGTGAATTTTATTTGTGTTCTCTGCGTATTATTTATCTGTGTTTTGTTTTTAATTGCAAGTCAAGAATGCATGAAATGAGAGAGAGAGAGATTTTTTTTTGTTTTTTTGTGACAATCGTTTTATTTGACAATCATCTTTTATTTATTTTTTTTCCACTTCATTCAAAGGTGTACATATATACTAAAAACGTTCATAACTATAAAATACATTTTTTTTTTTTTTTCACTTCAACCTTATACTACGGGATATTTGATTAACAACGTACTCCATATCATAGACGGGTAGGTTAACGTTATATCTAATTTCTATAAAATCATTAACAAAATCATCGTTGGATACTCTATTACAGGAAAACATGTTGACAATAGTGGATGTAGCAACACCTCTACATTTATGCCTCAGATAGAATATACAATACTGACCGCAAACCGTAGACAATAGAGATTGCAGCGCTTTAGAATTAAATGTCCAACGCTGTGCATTGTCATCTAAAATCTTAACAAAATCATCGCAATATTCACTAGGTTGTTTTCCAAACGAGTAAAAAAACTCGCCTTTTTGTTTACTTTTAAAGAAGAACACCACCCAGTGCGTCCCGGGTTGACTACTATTATCTACATTAGCTATGAAAGCTGCTGGATAGCTTTTTACCTTATATGGTAATTCATTAGAGGGATAAACCCCGTAAAAATATCTCAAAGTTAATGGATCATCTTTAACTAATTTTAAAATATCCATTTCTTAATGATCTAATAACACGTTTCTCGATTTGTCAATTTCTATAATATTCTCAAATTCAGCATAAACTATTACATTCACAGTATGTGGTGACGGTTGGGCAAATTTTATTTCTAATCTAAGATTTCCTTGACGGACGAGGTTAAAGTGAGCCTTGTTGAGAGGTCTGGGGATAGGTCAAAAGCAAATAACGTGTAACCGTTAGCATAATCTTCTCTGTTAATGAGGTGTCCTTTGTTCTTTAAAGATTGTTTAAACCGGTAAATAATGTATGGTAAGCTAACATTATAGCTATCATCTGCTCCATTCTGTCCGAAAACTGGCTGAATCTACGGATGAGTTTCTCCGTCCAAGTGCAATGCTACAAAGATTGTTTCGTAATGTTGAAAATTAAATGGGTTTAGCTGATAAGAGCCATTAAATGCTTCGGTAGAAACTAGACCCACAATCAAACGAGAAGGTTGAATGCCGTTGAATAGAGATTCTCACGTAAATGATAAATTTCCTGTTGGTATTGTAAGCGTCTTCACTTCTACTCTTCTAACAGGATATTTTGCTGTACTGTGTTTCAGAGCCTTTGCGTGCGCAATAGCTATAGAGGGGTTAACTTTACGAACAAATATAGAAGCATCTTCCACGTGAACCTTGTATCCAACTTGAGTAGAGGACATTAAGCAGAATGGATTTTTACTTCGATGAAGTTTCACTTAACATCAACGCCATTCAGCATTATATGATCTTGAAAGAATATGTCACAATGGATGGGTCCTACAAGGTCTATCAATTTGCTTTTTTTGGAAAATTCGTGTCGTTTTGTCAAACCTAAATTAGATTCATTGAGAGCGGCAAACGGATTATTTGAGTCCATGCGACCGGCTGTATCCTTGTAATAAAACCCCCTGTCAGTTGAGTTTGTTTAGCGTCCGAACCATACGTGAGGAGGGTTTCTATCATAGCCCTGTAAGGGTAAGTGTTGGTAGAAGGTGTAATTAACCGTTCGTTCAACATAACGTCTACCTCACTAAAGAGAGATTGCATAAAAAGATTAGCAGGCGCAACTTGAGCGTCATCCGGAAGATCAGTTCCATCAGGTAGGGTAATTTTTACTTTAACATGTAGCATAGTTTGCGAAAGATCCATGTAATCTTCGCCGCACCCTTGAATATTAAACTGTATGGGTCCTACATCGGTTAAAGAGTTGATGGGCGGAGAAAATATCCAATTCAGATTTTAAACATTCGCAAGAGTTATCGTGAATCAAAGCCATTTTTCAAACGAATTTAACCAATTAAGCATCGAATATATCCAGCGATCTTTTCGCTCTCTTGGTTGGTCGGGAACTGACTGATGATTTAGCACGTCTCCGCTTTTTGTTAACTTTTCCAACTGTGTTTTTAACGATACATTTTTCCTGCCTGAGTTAATCTTCTTTTGGCCGCAGTTTTGATGTTTCTTCCGTGTATTGCATCCTCCATTATTTCTGCTCCAGTTCGAATATCCTGTTTTCCGAGAGCTTTTGCTCCCTTCTTCAATAACGGTACAGCTTGCTTAAAAAGACTGGCGAGAACGCCCCCTAGTCCAAATTCTCTTTGCGTTATAGACCCACTGAAAACTGGCATAGAGTCGGCTGTCCTCCCACCTGACGTAAATAATAATCATCATACACAGAATGCATTATACAAGATAAGAAGATCGTATTTGTCTAAAGTGAAGCTTAACCAAAACGTTTCCGCGTTGAAATGACACTTTTTCACCCTTATCACTTCTTATATCTATAGTTACTGTATCAAATTCCTTCTTTACCAGACGCTTATATTGGGAAATGAAAAAGTACTGCGAGACTGCCTCTTTCATCTGTTTTTCTTTGGTTTGAAGAACTTTTAACAACGGTACGCTAGAATCACCTACCATTTGAGGTTCTATTATATCA